ATTTCGTAGACTTTGAATCTTTGTACTTACGGTACTTCCACTTTTAACGCTTTCTTGGTCAATAAGGTCAGCTTGCATAGTTGTCGTTGTCTCAGATATGTCTTTTTCCTGCCCTTCGGCCATGTTTGTCTTAGTTTACGCCATTTTGAAATCGTCGAACAATCGTATTAAAATAGCAAAATTTCTCACTCGTTTGTCAATAGATCCGGCTGCGAAAAGGACCAAATGTTCTCGTCTGTTAGAACGGTCGTTAAATAGTCTGTATACAAGGCAGATTCTCTTTATAATTGTCAAATAACTCTTTATTTCTTACCGATTTAAAAGTACAAAACACGCTGTCTTAAAATCAACACTAAAAGACGCCCGTATTACGCAAGCGCAGCGGGTTATATATGTCTTTACTTTATATTACAGGGAACGATTCGTTCCTTAACAATCCCATTTCGCCCACAACATTTGAGTCGCTAATTAATTTTTCCCCAAAAAATTATTGGTGAAACATCGTTATAAATTAACTTATTATTGCTTCCTTTCTAGCTTCTTAAAAAATTTGAAGAGATTAAGATTAATATAAATATTAATACATCTTTTTATTGTTCTTTTAGTTATTGAATGATTGACTCAAACTTAGAAAAACATAAGGTTTCAAAATTCTATACCTTCGCACTTTTTACCATCCCCCACGAATCCTTTTATACATTGGCAGCGGTATGAACCTTGAGTATTCATGCAAGTTGCATTCTGATGACAAGTGAAGTTTCCTTCAGAGCATTCATTAAGGTCTGAAATATGAAAAGAGTTCAATATTTTCTATCTTCAATTATTGTATAATTAATTATTGAATTTATTAGTATCCATCTTTGAGATTTAAAAATACAATGGATTTACATTGAGTCATAATAAATAAGATCAATAATTACAGTTTAAAATCTAATATTAAAAAGGCTAAGTTAAAAAACAAAGTTGAATGTTATCAGAATTATATATATTTACTAGATCTTGCAATAAAAGATTGCTTATATCTTTCGGTTCTAGATAAAACTGTGTAAGAATAATTTTGTCTAAGTTCATACGGGCATTCTCTAGGACCAGGCAGTAAGGTATGGCAAGGGTGGGTTGTTTGCGCTTGAATCCTTCTGATCTCTCGGATGGTTGCAAATTCACGCCTGCTTCTTAAAGAAGGCAGGCACTCTGTCGAGATCAAACATTTTCAGGCTCCTTCTCTGTACACGTTCAATTATTTTTTGTTGTAAATATTCTGGAATTCCTGCCCAAACAGGCGATGCGTACTCTAATACTGGTCTGATTTTGGATATGTAAGATGTCAGTCCAACCTCTGTTGGTAATTGGGATTTCCTGCACTGTCTAAGATGGTATAATCTTACGTCTACACGTTCAATCCATTTAAGATCATTTTGGCATGATAAATAGACTGAGAATTATCCATGGCATTGTACCAATTCTGCGTCGTAGATATTAGAGCAGAGATATTAGAGCAGAGATAGTAGATCGGCCCCGAATGAAAGCATTTCGATTATTCTTTATGTTAAAATCCGATATATTTAATTGGCGTTGGAGTTTTTCAATAAACTTAGCCAGTTGTGGGAGGACGGATATTTGTCTAAAGTCATTTTCAACATCGCTTGGACTGCGGACTTTGGCAACTGGGATATCAGCTCATGTTTGTATTGGCTTGGGTATACTTGTATATTTTTTTTATACTGGCCGTAAAGATATTGTGGACCACTGGAGCGAGATCATAACTAAAACCCTTGAGTATCCAGGTAGGAATTTTGTCTGCTCCGGTCGCTTTCATGGGGTTTAGATGTTTTAGAGAGTTCTTGACTTGCCCAATAGATGGCAACGGAGGTGCAGTATTCCTGAGTAATTGATCCATCAGGTTAATATCTAATTCGTTATTGGGTGTTAGATTTTCCTAGTGTTTTATAAAAGCCTCTTGTAATTTTTCAGCTAGTCTAGTATATTATCATTTGACGTTTTTCCCAATGGGTTATTCCGTTGTTAATTTCTAGAAGTGAGAATGATAATAATAATAATAATATTTTAATGCTTATATCGCGCAAATTTACATTCATATATGATCAAATGCGCGTTACAACTGTTGAGATTTAAAATTACACTATATGAGTAAGAATTTCTATTCTACTGATTTACCATATTATGGTTTAAAATAATTAAAATCCTAAAAGTTTAAAATAATTAAAACTAGCGAATATATATATATATATATATATATATATATATATATATATATATATATATATATATATATATATATATATATATATATATATATATATGGTGATAGGAAGTAAAATAGTGCCCATCCAGGGTCACAAGGCCTGGACATTTGCTTCGGTAAATGAGCTCACGAGTGGAGGAATGCTATCGTGTGTTAATCTTTGCTTTTAATTTTGCATATATCTAGAAAAGGGTACGTATGTGATATTACTCTCGGAGAACTCCATATATATATATATATATATATATATATCATTAGCTCGACAATATCATATGCTTTCCTAAATAAAAATGTCTTAATAAGTGTTTTAAAATGATTGAGGTTGGTCACAGTACGTATTTCTCGGGGAAGTTCATTAAAAAGTTTTGGTGCAGCCGCGGTGAAAGCTCTATCTGCAAGAGTCTTCTTCGTTTTAGTTACTTTCGGCGCAAGTAACAGTTCATTATTTGATAGCAGACAGTATTTACTCTGTAGTGTTGTACTTATTAGATCACTTATGTACACAGGTGATAAACCATGTATAGATTTAAATATTATAACTAACATTTTAAATTCTATCATAAATCTAATTGGAAGCTAATGTTATGTACGCAACACTGGAGTTATATGTCCAAACCGTGGAGTATAGGAAATCAACCTGGCAGCCGCATTCTGCACACGCTGCAGCTTCTTTATCTGTTTATCAGGTAACCCAAAAAGTAAACTGTTACAATAGTCAAGTTTTCCCATCACATATGCATGAACCAATATCTGAGCTGCCACGTTTGAGAGAAACTTTCTGATTCTTTTGATGTTGTGAAGGTGGGAAAACGCAGCTTCACATGTTTTATTTATGTGTGTCACATAACTCATGCGAGAATCAAACCATACTCCCAAATTCCTAGAAACAGAAACTGGGGTCACGGTGACGTCACCAACAAACAACTTCTCGATGCATACTTTACTAAGCAGCTGGTGGTTACCCAACAACATGAACTCTGTCTTGTCGTCGTTCAGTTTCATCTTATCTGTGATCATCCATGCCCGAAGAGCCTTTATACACAACTCCATCGCCTCGATTGCCTCCGCCTCACTTGTTCTGCTGTTTGGTTGAAATGACAAGTAAAGCTGTGTATCATCCGCAAATGCCTGTACTGTTGGTAGATATTTCTTAATTATGTCAAACAGCTTACTAGAGTAAACAGTAAACAACAAGGGGCCTAGGCAGGAACCCTGTGGCACGCTATATGGAAGCTGAAAACTTTTCGACTGTCCCTCACCAAACACAACACGTTGAGACCTGTTTGTAAGATACGATATAAACCTGTCCAGAACAGTACCAGTTATACCCAAAGAGGTTTCCATACGATGCAAAAGAATTCCACGATCCACGGTGTCAAAAGCCGCGCTGAGATCAAGGAGCACAAGAAGAGTCACCTGCTGTCGATCTATGTTCATTAAAATATCATTCTGCACTCTCAGAAGCGCTGTCTCTGTACTATGACCCTTTCTAAATGCAGATTGGAGTAGAAGGAAAAGTTCGTGAGTCATCATATGGTGGTAGGTTTGGTCATAGACTGCCCTTTCGGTCAACTTAGAAATATACTGTAAGTTGCTGATGGGTCGAAGGTTAGTGAACAAAGCATCGGGTCCCTTTTTCTTGATAAGAGGTTTGACAAGTGCTTCCTTCCATTTGTCAGGGAAATGGCCAGTGAGCAGTGAGGAGTTGATGATATGTGTAATCACAGGACGTAATGGGGTTAAACGGATAACCAAAGACGTAGGCATAGGATCTAGCGCACATGACTTTTTTGCTGACGCCTGGATGAGATCTTGGACTTCATTTTCAGTTAAACACCGAAAAGAATTCAATGCTATGTCTTTATTCACTACCCGATCATCTGGCACTAAATCACTTACAGAGGAGTCAACGACCATAGCATCAATGTCAGACCTTATTCTTGAGATCTTTCGCACAAAGAATTTTGAATATCTGTAGCCAGGGCCGTATTGTTGTGATAATTCGGGAAACACAGCTCGTCCTTCACTACCAACAACTTATTTACGGCTCTAAACAGTTTTTCTTGGTTGTGACTATTTTTTTTTATGAAGTTAGTGTAAAACGTTCTTCTCGCTTCATTCATAAGGTATGTCACTCGATTTCGTGTAACCTTAAACTGATTAAAGTCAGACAATAATTTCCTCTTGCGCCAAATTCTTTCGGCCTTTCTGCGAAGTCGTTTTGCAGCATTGATTTCACCGTTGTACCAGGGCGCCGATGCTCTCGCTCTTACACTTTTGGTCTTTAATGGTGCATGACAGTTAGTTCGGCTCGACAGAGTTTCGTTGTAATCACGTGTCAGCGCATCCACGTCATCTGGCAGCAGATTTGTTTGTTCACCACGACAGGTCGGGCACAATGCAGTAGCAGCCAGATCTTGGTTTAGAGAGGTCATGTTCACACATTTTAATTTCCTGTAACTAACTCTTTTGATTGACATAACTGGTTTGGCTGGTAATAGATCGCAGATAACAGAAGCATGGTCAGAAATAAAACGGTCTACATACGGTTGATTCATTATGATCTGATCAGAGTAACGTGTGATTATATTATAAGATCAAGGTTATGGCCATGGGTATGTGTGGCTTGGGTAACATGTTGCCGGAGACCAACCGACTCAAGCCAATCCTGATATTTAAAAGAATCGGTATCTACAGCATCATCAATGTGTATGTTGAAATCACCAAAGATCAAAAGAGGCTCCTTAGACAACAGAAGAGACTCTAGATAGTTCGAAAATTCATTGGAAAAGACTCTCATGGGCACGTTATGCTCACTAGAGTACGGTGGACGATAAAGCACAACGATGCGGAGTTTGTGACTGGATGTTGTAACAGACCATTCAGAAAATTCAAACGAACGTTTTATTCCTGCATCTAACTTTTTTGCACACAAGTCTCGATATATTAGACCAGTCCCGCCACCGCGCAGTCCGTCGCGTGGGTGATTCAGAAATTTGTAGCCATCAGGACATAATTCTGTTCGGACAGCTGCGTCATCATAGCTCAGCCAGGACTCGGTTATACCAACAACATCCAGCTTGCATTCACAGATGTAGTTCAAAATGTCATTTCTTACTGAACGAGCATTTAATACACCGAGTTTTAATGATTGGTAATGTACATTCAGATAATTAGAACAATTCACAGTGATTAAATTATTAGTGTTACGCGACGAAAGGCGTGACGGTTGCTCCGCATCGCGAGATGTTGTTGGCCTGAGACGCCTATAGCTATGACGCACGGATGCAATGGGTGAAATTTTGCTTCGAGTAGGACCAGGATTTAGTTTAAAGACTAGATACCAATTAGTAGAGTACGAAATGTTGCTGTAGTCGCCCATGCCTCCTATTCTTCGCGTAATTCATCGATTTTGTTAGTTGCATGCATTCAGGGACGCCGGAAGCATGTGAAGGCAAGGGGGGCAGATTTTCGTGAACGGGACTTTTGAATTGATATACAGTATACTAAGAGATGTTTGCAAAACATCGGGAGTTGAACTTCGCCTAATCGTGTTTCTATTGATTGGATGTTAGAGGTGAGAGGGGGTTCTCCGCCAGGCGATTGTGCTATTCTTGAAGCTCGATGGCTGCATTTCTTGCGTTTTCTGAAGAAAATTCGTAAAAGAATTCCACTAACATTTCTGACAATTCGCTATTTTGCCAAGGCAATCCTTTAAATTGAAATGGTGCCTTTGCTCCCTTGCCCTCCTGGTAAAGGGCAACGGGGGCGGCTGCTTCTCCTGCCCACCCCCCCCCCCAGTTCCGGCGTCCCTGCATGCATTTGTTTTAAAATAAATGTCGGAAGGCTGAATTTCTCTAAGATTTCATTGTTAGTTTTAATCTGAATACAGTTCGATTTGTTATTACCTCTAGTGGCCAGATTGGTAGATAAAATCTTTTCAAACTTAAAATTGTGGGTGATTCGAACGGGTATACTATTACCGGAGGTAGCTTGTTTTTACTTTGAATAATCAGTTATTTTCTTGAAGGGTGGATATAGGGATTTCCATTAGTGGTCGTGAAAAAGGAGGATATATGGGATGTTGTGACACTACAGAGACTGGGATTTCCAGTTATATACCAATAAATGTGGAGCGGCGATTGAACTGGGATTTCCATCACTGTTGGTCTGGAATAAGGGGGGCATGCTTGACGAGTTGGAAACGGCGGTTGAGCTTGGAATTTTGGTCTGAGACGGAGGGCAAGGTAAGGGGGTTCATTGTTGTAGTGGCACTGCTATATAGTATGTTAAACTATCCGTTAGCATGCAGGGACGTATACCTGTCCAGTTATCTTTTCCATCCTTAACGTGTCCGCTTTTACATTATATCTTATTGGATTTCGGAGTTCAATATGGCAAAGTATTAGGTCGAGAGTTTAATATCGTGCGAGACCGAAGGTCGAGCCTACTATTGAAGTTAGCCCAACCCACACAGGCCCACCTCTAGCTACGCCCCTGCATAGTGGAAACGAAACATTGCTATAAATTTATTATTGCTTACTTAGTTACTTTCATCTTAAAATATTTGAAGAAATTAAAAAATAAAGATTAATAATGCTTTTAATACGTGTTTTCATTGTTCTAGAAACTTTTAATTTTTGAATGATCGAGTGAAACTTAGAAAAATATAAGGTTTCAATATTTTATACCTGAGCACTTTTTTCCATCCCCCACGAATCCTTTGCTACATTGACAGTGGTATGAACCTTGAGTATTGATGCAAGTTGCATTCTGATGACAAGTGAAGTTTCCTTCGGAGCATTCGTCAAGGTCTGAAATATTAAATATATTAGAGCTCATATGCAATATTTTCTATCTTCAATTATCGTGTGTTAAAATATCCGTTAGCATGGAGATACGTATACCTGTGCAGTTCTTTTTTCCTTCCTTCCCGTATCAGTTTTTACATAGGCAGTTGTAGCTATGAGCGTTGAGTATTTGTGCAAGTTGCATTTGCATGGGAAGTGAAAATTAATGTTATTTTGGCCTGATTTCAGTTTCTGCCTATTTTACATTTTCAATAATTGTACAGAGGTTAATTGTTAAAACATTTATCTATTTAACTCCAATACTGTATAAGAATGTCGCACTACAGCCATGAGGAGCAAACGAAAATGCAGAATAGACATGCAGTAACTTGCACCTTACAAACATTACACTAAATATTTCTACAAACTATGTTCTGTAACGAGCAATTGAGACAAATCTACCGTATTCTCCGATTTTGCGATTTATAGCATTGAATATTGTAATTTACTGCTTATTAATGCAGAAGCCATATTTCAACGCACGGGTTATGCATCGATGATATTCAAATTAGTCAGGAAGTAGAATAATATATCTTGTCCGTGATTTCTGGCCATGTTTTATTTAGTTCATAATTAAGTCAAAGAATAAAGATTTTGTGTTGGTTTTATTTTGATCCATGCATGTTTTTAAATGGCTTCAAAAACGTTTGCATAATAAGTCAAATCTTTATATAAAAATCTTTATATGAAAATCTTTATATAAAAATCTTTATATAAAAACCTTTATATAAAAATCTTTATATAAAAATCTTTATATAGTTTGCATAACAATGGTCTTTTGTTAAAGTGTTCTTTAGCTGGTATAAAGACGTATGCACGTGACTCATTTCTTACTCAAGATTGGAAAATTGCTTCATGAATTATTAATGAGTTTTTGAAATTAATTTTATTAACCTTTTTCACAAATCTCTCCTTTGTATCCCTCCTTACATAGGTAGTTGAAAGGTTTAACTGGATCCCAGATCATTGTTCCACCATTGTGACATTCATTGACTTCTCCTCTGCATGATGCCTGGAATATACTACATTTCATGGTCACATGCAATCATAATGGTATCCAAAAATTTGCCTATTTTTATATATCTTTGCATTTTGATCAACGCACATATAATCCAAAGCTTAAATATAGTCAAAATACGAGTTTCATGTAAAGATGTGAATAAATTAAGATCTCATCTTCAAAACCTATGGCAAAGTGAGACAATAGTGCTACATAGCCTTGCTAAGAATAATCACTGATGAGTATACAAAATTTTTGGCTAAGGGGTATTTTAATTATAAATAATTGAATCAACGTATTTCAGAGATATGAATTCCTATCTTTGCATACGTTTTTCCGTATACATGCAATATTTTCCCGAAATGCAAGGAATTGAAATATTTTAAATAAAACAGTTTTAGATCGATTCTGGCATTGATAGGAAGCCCACTCAAAAGTATATATATTTTCTCACCACCTGACTTCGGTCTACATTAACTCTAATGAACGTCCAAACTTGCTCTTTTTTGCTGGCGCTATTGTCAAATTTTTGTTCAGTCGTATTTGTCAATTGGCAGTTCCATTCATTCCACCCAGCCTTCTCCTTGTAGTTCATTGCAACACAGAAACGGTTTTCTGCACATTTAAGGCCGCAAACCCTATAAGTTGGTTCTCTCAATTGAGCGATGATGTTTGTTTTTAAAGCGGGCACACCTATAAAAAGTATTAATTTGCTCATTCTCGGTTTTCATATAACGTCACGTAGAGGTCAAAGGTCTATGTCAAGGGTAATAAAGACGGCCTTTATATTGTTTATACTTAAAGAAATATGGTGCTGAAAAGATTGATATGAAACGGTTTTACATTTCTGCCATCAGACTGATTCTTGAATCAGGCCCGTAGCTGGGGGGGGGGCTGGGCGGGGCAGTGCCCCCCCACTAGGAAATAAAATTGAAATTATGTCCCCCCCCTTACGTTTTGCAGAACTAATAGCTGCTAATGTTGTTATTTTTGGGGGGCTAAGTACCGAAATTTGGTATGAAAAATTGAGACAAAGTACCTGGAAAGCAATTGCAACGTACTCGTCTGGAAAAATTTTTACCTAAAAAGTTGTCAGAGGAAATGTCAGAAAATTTTGTGAGAAAATTTCAGCCTCTCATCCCAACCCCTCTGTTACATTCTTTCTGCAGTGCCCCCCCCCAGAAATTGAGAGCCAGCTACGGGCATGTCTTGAATATGTAGCCCAAGACTGGCATGGGGGAATTACTAAAGCACAGAGCAGCAGTATTGAGAAAGTACAAAGGAGGGCATTGAGAATATAAATATATTCTGAAAAAGATTACGAAAAGATGTTGTTGGAACCTGGAAATGCATGCGCTTGAACAACGTCGCTATACTATGTGCATTGATCTTATTAGTAAAATGTCTCACCCACAATACAAACTGCACCATCTTCTTACAGACAAACCTTGCCATAGGTGCGGCAAAGGGATATCCGTTAGAATAGTAAATTGTTTTACAAAAATCACTACAGAACAGAAACTTTTTTGAACAGTCCAATTATTTCGTCAATTGAACTCTATAATAACTCTATTTTATAATATAACGATATATTTTTATCAAAATGTTTTTAATACGTTTTAGATAGTTTTCGGAACAGTCCAATTGTTTCGTCAGTAGAACGTTTGATAATAACTCTTTTTATACTACTCTCTTCTATCGAAACATTTTTTTAATACCTAATTTAGATAGTATGGCAATTAATGTATTTCTTTTTAAGTATGTAATGCGTATTCTAATTTAGCTACTTATTGTAGCTATTCAATGCGTAATTTTCATATTAAACGTAATTAAACATATTAAACAGGAAAATGTTTTATAAGTCAAATCAGCAGGATCCTACTGGACGTAACGGTAAGGAATATGTCCTCATATAAATCGCCTGGCAACGGCAAATTGACTATATTAAATTTATGGAAACATTGTCATGTCTTTTTGCTGTGTCAAAACCTTCATCCGATTTATTAAATTTTGGAACATTGCTAAAGTTGTGACACGAATGACACCTCGAAGTCGCAAGCAACAATTGTGCAATCTTCTTAGTTGCTAATCCCATAGTATATGAAACGGTTGTTTATAGCCAATTTTCATCTCACTTAGAGCGATATAGTCGACTGACAAGACATCAAAATGGCAATGGACAGACACATTGAAATGATTCATTTCACCTAATGGTAACCGACTACATTTTTGACGCTATAAGCGAAAGCAAGTCTTCTAATGAAGCTATTTCAAGTAAATAAAGAGAACATATTTGCTTTCAAGTCACTACATGAAACTATTTCACTAGTCCAGTCTCAGACATTGACAGAGGAACAGTTTACCAGGGAGTATGCAGAGGTTTTTGAAGGTGTTAGCCTCCTATCTGGAGCACTGCGTTTGGTAATAGACAGCGCTATCCCTCCAGTACAGCTAAGAAGAATCCCACTTGCTGTAAAGGACAAGCTTAAAGATGAGCTTGATCGAATTGTTAAGCTGAATGTGATCACCTCTGTTGATAATCCTATCGACTGGATTTCAGTTACTGTTGTTGCCATCAGGAAAGATGGTAACATCCGGCGGGGTTTTGACTCTAAACCGTTAAACAAGGCACTTAAATTGAAATCAATGATATTTTGCCCGATTCAACTGTTCTTGATGCCAAGAATGGTTATTGGCATGTTGAACTGGATTAACCGAGCTCGTATGCTACCACGTTTGGTACACCTCGGGAGCGCTATCGGTGGTTAAGAATGCCGTTCTTGTTATCGCCAGCACCGGAAGAGTTTCAACGCCGAGCGAATGCTGTACTACACGATCTTTCAGGTGTTAAAGTAATTGCTGACGACATTTTTGTCTTTGGAAGTGGCCAAAAAATGTGGACGCCCTAGCAGATCATGACAAGAATCTAAAGTTGGTGATGGAGCGTTGCAATGAAGCTGAGACTGAGGGAAGTGACATACATGGGACACCTCATCGCAGCTGATGGACTAAAGGTTGACCCAAAAAAGAACAAGGTTACCCGAGACATGTCTGTTCCAACAGACAAATCGAGAGTACAAAGATTACTTGGCATGGTTAATATATCTTCTGAAATTTGCCCCAAGTCTTGCAGAAATCACCACACTTTTGTGCGAGTTAATAAGAAAAGATAACGAGTTTATATGGTAAAGCTTTAGATCAAGTACGATAAGCCTTATCACAGCCACCAGTTCTACGGTATTTTGATCCAAAAGTGACACCAGTACTTCAATGTGTTGCCTCCATGAATGGACTAGGAGACTGTCTCATACAGAACAATCAGCCAGTGGTGTATGCATCAAGGTCACTAACGCCAAAAGGAGTCTAATATGCACTGTTTTGGCTATAGTATTTGGTATGGAAAGGTTTGAGACTTACTTGTATGGAACAAGGGCAAACAATATCAGCCAATCAGCGCGTTTTTTTTTACATTTTGCGTCCTAGGCCAACCAGAAAGCCTTAAATTCGAAACATATAAACAAAAGGAGTGAGAAAATAACACCTTGTTCTACGCCCTCCGTGCCATTCTATATTAGCCTTTTTACTCCAAAACTGACAAATTCTGATAAAGATTGCTTTTTTTCTTTAATTTCCTTTGGGGTATTTCTTAAATTCGATCTAGAACGCGAAATATTTAAGTTTGAATAACAATGTTTCGACGCACGTAAGTAGCAGTCTCTCACTGGCATTTAAACAAATCTTAAGAGACACATAAACAAATTGGTAGATTTGGCGATTTAAACCTATTTTCCCCACACCACAGCCGACATTTTTTTAAATATTACCTATCTGATTCCGTCTTGTATCGGAAATGCATGGCAACGATCCAGAACTGACAGGTACAGTATCGCAGTATCGCATGACTCATCACATATCCGGTTGGCGAAATGGTGATTGTCAGACCTTCGCCCAAGGCTTAGTTTTTCTAACAAACTGTTCACGAGGGTTTCGTCATGTTCGTTGTCAACGGATGCCTGACTTCTTCCATCGCTTTCGTCCTCTTCAAAGCGAGTCGCCAAAGCAAACAGCTTTAATATTTGCAGTCTTTCCAAGACCTTCCAAGAGTTTCAACATTTGACAACATTGTTGCTTGACAAACTTTGCAATCGCTAATGTTGGGCAGGATGCATTCGATGTGAAACGAATGTCCACAACCACGGAATGATCAAGATCCAAGATCTCATATTACCCCCAAGATCCCATATTACCCCCACCCAAAGTTCCCTCCCAACCACACGGAGGCCACTGGCGTGCTAACCGTAAGCGGCAAAGTTGAGGCAACTGAGTATAGGAGTGGTGTAACTGCCCACTGAGCTCAGCAAACATAGATCAACTTGTCAACGATGTTACTCGCATATTCACCGACCAATCGACCGTATTCAAGCTTAATTTATCATTTGGCTTCATCCTCTTTAATAACGACACCAAAGAGATGCAATACCGCACTCTTCAGCAAACAACAATCGAGTATTTGATACGCCGTTCCAGATCCGTAATCGTGAAAATTTAGTCCAACTTCGTGAAGCGATGCAAAACTTTGACGTGTATGAATGGGCTCGGCAACAACGCCCAACTCCAAATTGGTTTTCATATATTTCAGCAAAGCTACCTTCTACGCGGCCAAACTTCGAGACCATCCCATAGGTCGCAGTGTGCGTCTACCTCGGTACGTCCTGGAATATCCTGCTATCGTGTTGCTGGATTGTGATGATAATACCGGATTGCCTGGCCTTACACAAAGGTTGTCATCCCCATAACCTGGAGCACGACAAACAACACTTCTTTGAACAGTACAACGATAGTGATGATTTTGAGGGTATCACTCTCGAAGAGCTCCCAGAGTTGGAAAACATGTTCGAACTGAACATTTATGTATATCGTCCTGCCAAGTTATATGACGAAAACGAAGACACAACAGAAATCATGGTCCAACTTATCCAACGTTCCAACCGTACCTATGCCAATACCATGTACCTGAACCTGGACGGTAGCCACTTCAGCTACATCAAGATTCTGTCGATGTACTCAAAGTCCTATTGTGGTTGTAAACACTCTCCTCCGCAGAGCCTTACTAATTTTTAGTAAAATTACGTAATATTACTTGGGAAACAAATTACGTAATTGTTAGTTAAACGCGCTATGTATGATGGGAAGACAGAAGCTACGTAAGGCTCTGCCATATAATGTTTCCAAAATAGCGTCCAATTTAATACAAACATAAGAATATTAAATAACTCCTGAATTATTCATGGAGACAAATAGGCCGTTTCAGGATGCAAAAGTTTGCGGTGAATTGGTTTGTTTAGAGTGCATTGAGAACAACGAGGAAGTAAAGTTTTTTGACGATGTTGGACCGAAGAAACGTTTCAAAGTTTGTATAAACAAACATCGCTCCTTGAAATTCAATAACAGCATATGCACTCTGGGTGAAACGCTGCACGTAGTGAAACAATTGTCGAATCTGCGATTAGAGACGGTATGTAAATATTAAATATATTATTTTTGATTGAATAAAAATACAAAGTATATGTACTATATAAAAGTATGTATTCATTGCTGTGTCCCCAGTGTAAATGTATTTGATTTGGAACAGATTTGGAACAGTGTGTACTTTTTATAATTTGCAACTCTTGGATGAACCTAGTTGTTGAGTCGTTGCAAGGTTGTTGCCATATTTGTGGAATAATAAATGGCCATTTATACCACCCAGGGTTTGTAATGTTTGTGTGAATATGTCTACATGCACTGAATTCTGGTAGCTTATATTATCAAAGGTGGCCCGCAGTTATTGGGAGTATAATTTCAGTTGTGATAACCCTGCCACTTGTACTTTATATGTCTGTCTGTCTGTATATTTGATGTATTTAGTTTATCATGGCAAAGCTATGGTAATAGCTTTGCCATGATAATATAAATTTCATGGTCATTCCATTCCAGAAAACATCCATACCACCTCCACAGAGGAAATTGGAAGTTAACCCCCCCCCCTATCCCCTTTGGATGTCCCAATACATTTACTATTATCAGAAACAATTTTGTCTCCCCTCCCCCACCGGGGAGTGTGGATCTTTTCTGGAACAACCCAATAAATGAGTTCAAAACTTGCACTTTGGAAATTTTAAAACAACAAATAACAATAATTAATTAGATTTATCATTATAATTGCCAGGTAAACCTATAGTAGTATGGTAACAAACAAATATCTTAATTATTCTACAGAATAATTCATGGATGATGTGTCAATCTAGCATGAACTAATGTACACAGAATACAAAGTGTCATTTGGAATGATATAAATTGTTCCACTGATGCCATTACTGTTGCTACCAAAAGTCGCTGAGAAACTGTTGAAAGTGGAACATTGCCAAAAACTCCAGAAAAAAATTCAATAGATGGTGCTGCAAACCAGAGCTTTTCAAATAATATAACAAGTCTAGAAATTTAAAAAAATGTATTTGGACATCGAAAGTTTAGACCATGACAATTTGATGCTATTGATTCAGAAGCTCTTGTATCCAGAAAAGATACCATTGTTCATTGTTGTGGTTCCCAAATGGCTGCCAAAACGAAGGCATCTGTTTGAGTTGATTCATTAGGTATATCTACAGAAATTTTAAAAAGAAACAGGAGTTATCCAAACTGACATATTATATAGGTGCAAAATATTGGATGTAGATCTGACTGGCTATTTCTAGCACAACTATATCAGACCATATTTAATGTATCTTTGTGATTGGTTAATCCTAATTGTATAATACTATGTTAATATTGGTTAATCCTAATTATATGATACTAATATTATATATTTAGCAGTTGTAACTTTAATTAGATTGTTGTTTTCAGATGAGATTGACATTTCTCCCTTGACATTTTGATTGGATATTTTATACAAAAATGTACTTGAGTGGATAGCAAGGTTTGTGTCAGGCTCTATTTGTAAAATAGAGAGAGCAAGAAGCAGAAACAAAAATGGGATACAATTGTAAAAACATTCAACAATTACATATTGGCCGAGGATGAGCATGATATCAAGAATTATCCAGACCTCAACCTTTGGCTTCGGAAGATAACATTGACCGATCTTGATATCATGCGAAACCCAAATTTAATTATTCTTTTATTATGCAATTATGATGTTATTATGATGGCATGGAAGAAAACCTTGTCAGGTGTCTCATTAAAAAATCATGTCACCAACAGGCAATTTTCAATGTCGTTTTAGGTGGATAAACATTGAGGATTGTCTGTACTTCTTAGGCAATCACAATTGATTCTTTTGAGATTGCATCAACATTGTATAATCCAAATAATTCAAATACATTAATTTGTTAAAAGGCCCAGTGGTGGATCCAGCAATCCAGCAAGATTTCACTAGGAGGAGGGGGGAGCAGCCAAGCATAACGAACCTAGCTTACTGGCCAACGGTGTACTGATACATGCAACATTGAATAAACTGATAATTTTATAATTATATATTCTCCAATTCTCGTCATACTGTTATTGTGTGAAAGAGAAACTTCATGAACTTATTAGATACTTTGAACTAGTGCTAGACGTTGCCTTCCAAAATTTAATTTAGTCTAAGACTATTTCTCGATTAGATATATCACTACAAAAATATGTACATTGAGAGGGACTACTCAGTATTAACTGAGAACAAAGCTGTGTCAACTGTTGCTATGTGAAACCTTTCTGAACCAGATTCACTTTGGTGTTTGGACACTTCAGAG